ATATATATAAGGCTATGATTCAGCCGGTGCTGACGTATGGGTCAGAAGTGTGGGTCTTTAACAAGAATATGTCACAAAAACTCCTCTCAACGGAAATGATGTACTGGGGAAGATGTTCCGGGTTAACTTTGTTTGACCACATAAGAAATGAAAACATAAGAGAGAGAATGAAAGTAAAGAACACAATAATGGATACGATAGCCGAAAAACAATTAAAATGGTATGGACACCTGAGACGGATGAACGAAGAAAGGATACCACGAAAGGTTTGGAACTGGAGACCTACACAGAGAAATAAAAGGGGAAGGCCAAGAAAGAAATGGATATCCAATATTCATATAGAAATGGAAAATAGAGGCCTTCAAGAAGGAGACTGGGCCGATAAGAAATTATGGCGATTGGGATGCGAGAAGCGACAAAATTAAAGTTGCAAACACTCGCTATATATATGACAGAAAAATAGGGATCTTAGTCTATTTGCGACTTGATAATAGAATTGAGAAGAAATGCGAGAATTACTGGAAAAAAGGAAGACATAATCGAAAAGTAAACTATATAAATCATCGTCTTAATGTTTCATTGGTTCATCTCAGACCATAATAGAAATTTTTATATTGGTCCGAGTATTATAGTGATGTATTTGTATTTGGATTTGAACTAATACTGTTATGTAACTAAAGTATGGTAATTTTAGCTACCCCATACATTGAACACAGTTTTGTGCTGCCTTAAAACAAAACGCATTATAAATCAGCACTTTTGATATATGTATGAAAGATATTGGACAATCAAAAACAGATGAATATCATTTTTACCGAGCGCAAGTCAAAAGTGAAATGGCCAAAGCACTTACAATGTAAAACTGGTCCTCCCCATGGATGCAAGTATTACTGAAGCATTATTTTAATGTATTGTTGTCAAGCGATACAGAGCAGGGTGAAAACATGTTGCTGTTGCGATGCTTTACTAAACCTGAAAGATCTTGGTAAATGATACGTAGAAAATACCTGCACTAAATGAAAACAAGTTTGGCATATGGTAAAAAATAGCAGATTTAAAGTATCGCCAAAGAATCCGAACAAATAAATCTTATAGTTCCTGTGTGCAATGTGCAAAAAAGCAAAAGACAAATTTCTGCTATAATCCAAGACCACAACAATACAGAAATATGCCTAATTTTAATGAAAGTGTAATCAGTGCAACATATTGGAGTAAAAAATGTGAGAAAATAGCTATCCGTGGGAAGACGAGTCAGAGGAAGACCAAAACTTAGGTATCAAGATTGTAGCATTTTCAATGTCATTGATTCTTTTGAGTATATTGAAACCCCCTCGTATAAAAAAATATATTAAAAACTCCTTATATATTTTTAAAAAATGAAACGAAGATTTCCGTGTTGTTAGTTGGTATCTTTCAAAGTATCCAAAAGTGTTTCGTCGCCGAGTAATAAAACCATTTGAGAGTTGTTTATTTTACTTCGGCAATTTCTTTTCAATTTTATGTGTCGCAAAGGATATCTACGTCGTTCATTGGTTTTGCTATGTCAAGTGTTTGTTTATTTTCAAGTTATGCGTTTTAATAGATATGCAATTTTAATAGAATTTCTTCACTCTTGTTGGAGCGGCTATCAAGAACGGTTCAGCGTTATGTCCAAATTCATGTCGAGTTTGTAAAATTTTCTGTTTTTTTCGTTGATTGTGGTGGAAATGGGTAGCAGTAGCGATGGACTTTGTCCAGTATAAAGTGACCGGCATTAATTTGCCGGGAGTAGTAAAGTTTTCGCTCGATATTTCGAGATTTTTGAAAAGTCTGGTTCCTGTTGGAGGGTTCATGTTTTTTTTTTGAGAGTTCCCGTTTTCCCTGGTGTGCTCCGGCCCCCAATGGATGTCCTGTTCCTGTTTCGGCCCCAAATGAATGTGTTTGCTGCTGATCTCCGGATGGATGCTACAGAGATATAACAAGTTCTTTTTGTGAAGTGGAAATATGTAAATCAAGGTAACTGTTTTTTTTTTGTGTTCAAATTTTAAACTAAAGACAGACAATTTTTTTTATGAAATAATAATTGCTTTCGTTTCATTTAAAATTGTAAATTTTTGGTTTTGAGTTGAGCTGTCAATTTGTGTTTAGTTTTTTTGAAATTTAATGTTAATTTATGACAGCTCGTTTTATTATTTTTTGATTTTACTTTGTTTTGTTAAAAAAAAAGGTTAACCTCCATGCAATTTTGTAAGTTTTGTAGCAACAGAGTTTGTAAGCGGATGACACATCTAAGTTTTTGTGTTTTGTTTTTTTTCCATGTAACTGTTTGTGGTGACACATAAATAAAGGTTAAATTTTGTTGTCTTAACATTTTATTTATTTTTTTTTGAGCTAACCCTTTTTGAGTTTATTTGAAAAAGATATGTTTTTTAGGTTTTGATTTTGTTTTCTAATTATTTCCCTAGTTACAACTAGTGGTTGTAATAGGCATAATTAGGCACCTCAAGTGGCGCCCTATATTAAATTCCTTGAGGTGTTTCTTGTTTATTTTTATTTTGTTTATCCCAAGAGATTAATGACCTCATTATTACATTTTCTTGTAGTTGCCCCATTCTAATCCCTTTATCTTTTACTTATCCACGACCCCAGCTCTCCTACGAAACCCTGAGTGCCGTTCGCACAAGTAGCGTTTATTTTGCTTGCCTTATCTTCACACCCAATAGTTTCTTCCCCCAATTTTCTATCCCCTGTATTGATGCCCCCTGTGGTAGGCAAAATATTCTCGTTACAAGATAACATAGAGGATGATCTAAAATCCATTGAAGTTAAGGCATGGAGAAGAGTTGCCAGAGACAGGGGCGAATGGAAGATTGTTCTGAAGAAGCCTTTGTCTCATAACGAGCTGTAATGCCACTGATGATGATGAAAGACTTTAAAAGGTCCGAAAACCGAAACCCATAAATACAACTTAAGAGTATATATCAGATATCAACAAAAAAACGAGAGCTGCAAGAATATCCGAAAAGCAATAAACATAAAAACGATGATGGTTAGAAAAAGGGAAGTCATAGGAAAGGACAGTGTAAGATATCAGCAAATTGACAAAAAAATAAAGAAGGCATTTAGAGAAGCTAAAAATATGTGGATGAAAGAACAGTGTACGGAAATCGATACACTAGACCACTAACACAATATATTTAACCTCCACAAGAAAGTGAAGGAGGCAGTAGGTTTAAAAAACCACAAAAATTGGCAAAAACCGATGTTCAGGGGAATTTAGTACATAATTTCATTGACATAGAAAAAACAAAAATAATTTGGAAGAATTAGAACAACATTTGAGGACAACATCAATAACACCACCATGCAGAAAACAAATGGCCATGCTGGACCACCAATCACCAAAATGAAAGTAGAAGCCGCAATAAAAAATATTAAAGAGAGTAACGCTGCGGGCCCAGATGACTTTTATGCCAACTTCTTAAAAATTATGGAATACAATCAGCATCAGGCATCATCAGTTTATTGTAGGTTTTTGATTTTTCGTCCTCCTATTTTTGTTCCACCTTTATATTCCTCAAAAACTTGACGCATAATTTGTTTACTGTATATATTTAATAGAATTGGGGATATTATATACAACCCTGTCGACCTCTAGATTTCAATTTAAATATTTTCGAATGCAACTTATTAACTGACTTATTTTATAATTTAATTTATAACTAGCGGACCAACTAGATATCGTGTTTTTTAAATGAAATTTTTATTTTGCGAGAAAAATTAAGAGAGCAATACAAACAATATAAGCAAGAATATACATAACATTCATCAATAATAATGCAAGTAAAAAGTGTATTAAATATCACGAAATATTTCGTCGAAAACAATGTTTTTTGTTACAATGTCTCCATTTTCTGAAAACTTTTGCTTGGCACCGGGAGTTATGTAAACTTTTACTTTTTACTTTTTAATAAAAACGAAACCGGAAGTCGACCTCAAAACTGGAATGCAATTTTTAGTTCATCAAATGTCGACATGAATATCATTTAGCAGTTAATTTTGCATGCTGATCACGAATCCGGTGTCAGATTTGCTCTATCTTGACGTTTTATGCGCGTTTCGGGTCACTTCCGGTGTCGGATCGCAACCGGAAGTACATATTTAGATTCGTCTTGACGAGACCTTTCGATCCATATATACGTTGTGGGGTCTAAAACTTGAAGTACCTAAATTTTAACTTCCGGTCATCTCAAAACCGGAATACTCCGAAAATGAAAGTGGTGGACAAGAAAAGGGCTTAGCTTTAGTATATAAGATACAGGGTGAGTCAATACTATACTTACTTATGTTTATGCGTTTTTATTCATATCTCGAGTTCGACAAAAGCTATCAACATGCGGTTTGTGCAATTTTATTACGAATATAATCCAGTTCCATTATAATTTACAATAAATAGGTGTTTTCATTAAACATTTTGAAGAAAAACAAATTTTAATTTTTTCTATTACAAAGTACAGTCTATCCATGACAATTAAAACTAAATGCAATTGTTTTATACACTAATTTCGTTAAAATCGGTTGATCCAAACCAAAGTTATAGGTATTTATCCACAAATACTTTCCCACTCTGCCCCACTCTTTATTTGAAAAAATAAAAAAGTACTTGAACAACTTTGTGCGGAATTTAGGCCTCTTTCTAGTTTACTTATTTAACACTTGGTATAATTGCGCATATTTCACAAAAAACGGGTTTTAAAATTTTTCTTTACAGGTTACGCCCCCTAGCGATTAACTCAGAAACTTGAAAGTTATTTCCAGAGATTTCTCTTGGCCACTTTTACTAAGGAATTTTGTCTCCTAAAGTTATAACATGAATAGTTTCTGATATATAGCCGAGAGATCGGCTTATTGGACCACCCGGTACATACAATTCTTGTAATAAGTGGATTAGCTTAAAAATCAATTTAGTGCAGGTAATATAATGCCCGTTAAAAGTTAAAAGTTTTATCGCTAATAAACTATCAACAATAAGGACTATTCGAACTATAATAGAATACTTAATTTGGTTATATGTTCTATTACTGTTACTGTTTTTATTTTTGAAATTCAAATTTATTTTATATACTTTACAAGATTACAATATTTTATTTAAAACTGATACAAATAATAAAAAACTTACCTGTAGGGTAGCATACCGTCCAAAGCTTGTTGAACCGTAGGAGGTGAACTAAGAGCCAATCCTTTGGACAAAAGTGATCCGTGTTTGGAAAATATATCAGAGGCTACGTTTTCAGCAACTTCCATGTCAACATCAGCTTCATCTGCAATAATTATATCGGTTATTAACATCCTGCTTTTTAATGCAAAGCGATTTATATAAATACGGGTGTACCTATCTGTAGTTTTCTATTTATTTATTTAATAAATAGTTACCGCAGAAATAATCAAAATTCGAAAATGGGCGTAAATCCAGACTGTTATTTGTATATAATTTTATGCAAAATAACAACTAGTTTAATAGTTTCAATTCGGCCTGATGAAGGGGTACAAATTGTAAACCTTGAAGCCGGTCGCCCCATTTTACATCAATAAAATGTTTATAAAAATTGAATTTAATATTTTGTACTATTAATTGGTTTGACTACTAGCGCCATCTTTCCGATAGAGACCTAACAAATAGAACCAATGAAGAAGGACTCTGTCTGGAGCACCTCCGCGCCAATGTAAAAATCTTTTCTTCAAAACGTATCAATGATAATTTCTAAAAGGATTCCCGTATTATGGAATTGGCAAGTCAACAATAATAAATGAATGCAAATGTAGATGCATTATATATTTTTTTACTAGATTTTTCGATTATTTCGGGAACTGCTCACTAGAAAAATTGATCAGCTAATTATAACTAAGGGCCTTAATTTGATACATAACATGAGCTTGATTGACCATTAGGTTTATTTTACTTATATAAGTAGGTATACACATATAAACTTATGCAACAAAGAAGAACACGGGATAAGGAGCAAATGTACAAAGATCTTAGGAAGGAGGAAAAACGCATACATCGAAGGAAAAAGCGGACCTTCGAAAACCAGATTATGCAAGAGCTTCAATCATTAAAGGGGCAAAATGAAACTAGAAAGTTCTATAATATCCTAAATAAGACAAGAAAAGAATTTAAACCACGGCTGACGATGTGTAGAGACAAAAATGGACATATAATCAGTACCGCTGACGCAGTACAAAGCAGATGGGTTGAGCACTTCAAAGAACTACTTGGTACCGAAGTGGAAAATGATGCGTCACCTCAAAGACCAAGAAATAACACTCACGTAGAACCTCCTTCAATATTTGAAGTGAAAGATGCAATCAGACGACTCAAAAATAGCAAGTCCCCAGGAGTGGATTGTATCCCCGCAGAGCTCATCAAACATGGAGGTAACAGCATTATGCACCAAATTCACAACATAATAGTCAAAGTCTGGGAAGAAGAACAAATGCCAGAGGAATGGTGCACTGGAATCATATGTCCACTGCACAAAAAGGGAGATTTGTTGGAATGTAAAAATTATAGGGGTATAACTCTTCTGAATACAATGTACAAAATATTCTCCAACACCCTGTACAGCCGATTAAGTACGTACGTAGAAGAAATCCTTGGTGAGTATCAAAGCGGTTTTAGGCCAGGTAGGTCAACAATTGGCCAGATTTTTGAGCTACGTCAAATCTTAGAAAAAACCAATGAATTTAATATTGACACGTTCCATCTCTTTGTGGACTTTAAGTCAGCGTATGATAGCGTCCTAAGAAGTAAATTATACGAAGCCATGAATGAACTTAACATTCCCCATAAATTAATAAGGCTCGTAAAAACAACTATGAGTTAAGTGATCTGCAGAGTGCAAATACAAGGCGATATGTCACAAGCGTTTGAAACATATGCAGGGTTACGGCAGGGAGACGCGCTGGCGTGCCTTCTCTTTAATATAGCGTTAGAAAAGACTATAAGAGATGCCGAGTTACACAATAGGGGAACAATCTTTAATAAATCAACGCAGATTATGGCTTACGCTGACGATCTGGATTTGATCGCACGTACTACACGAGGACTTAAAGAGATGACTTCCACCTTCTTGACAGCCGCACAAAATATGGGCCTTAAAATAAACGAGGAAAAAACCAAAATGTTAGCATCTATTCCAAATAACAGAGATAGAGCTAGAAGCGCCTAACAAAACTTCAGTATAGACCAATATATTTTGAGGTAGTAAATAAGTTTACATATTTGGGTTCTCTCATAACAAACGATAATGACACATCTGAAGAAGTTAAACGGAGGGTACTGCTAGCAAACAAATGTTATTTTGGACTAAGCAAGCAGCTAAAAAACAGAAATTTAAGCCAGAAAACCAAACTAATAATATATCAAACACTCATCCTACCAGTGCTGACATATGGGTCAGAAACATGGACCATCTCCAAAACAGACGCAAATCTTCTGCTCGTCTTCGAAAGGAAGATACTAAGAAGAATAATGGGCGCATTCTGTGAGAATGGTATTTGGAGAAGGCGATATAATTTCGAATTGTACGAGAAGTATAAAAAAATAGTAAATGGTAGAGATGTAATATCCTTCATAAAAATAGGTAGGCTTAGATGGGCTGGATATGTGTCAAGAGCAAATGAAAATTACCCACCCAGACGAACTCTATTATCGGTCCCAGTGGGAAATAGGAGTAGAGGCAGACCACGACTGAGATGGAGGGCCGGTGTGGACGAGGACGCAAGGAAAATCGGCGCGGCAAATTGGCAACGGTTGGCGATGAACAGAAACGACTGGCGAAATAGACTGGGGAAGGTCAAGGCTCAACTAGAGCTGTAGCACCACTGATGATGATGAAGTAGGTATATGGAATAATTATTATTTCCAATATTTTTAAATAAATATTACTGACGCATTTTGACACTTTTATGATTGCAAAATTTGTTATCATTAAATCGTGTATTGAGTTATACAAAAACCATATTATAAAAAATTACAAACCTCCATTTAGTGGAAATAAAATATCCTTTTTCATTAGACTTGCGGCACACATTCCTCCTAGAAACGCCAATTCGCCTTCCAAATGTTTTAGTTCGTTCAGGCTTTGAAAATTATCTTGGGGCCATTCGTATCCGATCACTAGACACTTGAAGCCGTAGGCACATAGACGTTCGTCCTTCAAATAATCGGATGCAGTTTCTAGAGAAAACAAAACTTCATTTCCCGGTAGAATCACTGAGTTAGTAGGCCACTGCAAACTAAATAGATTTTTATGAAAACATTGTATATAAGCTGTATTTGCTATAAATTTAAAAAGTAATCTGTTGACATTTCGATATACCAAAATGTCTTAATATTGTCCAAAAAGATAAAAAATACATTTATTATGGAATTTGTTATACATTGTGACCTATTGCTACCTGACAATAGACTTTAGAGCCAGAACTTGGGCCATTGAAGATAACACTGGAACCCTGAGAACAAACAGAGAAGACATAGCAGAGACATGGAGATCGTATTGCAGGAACCTATATAAAGATGATCAACGCCAAGAGCTTGTTAGCCAAATCTCTGACGAGGTGGAAGAAGAACCTGATATACTCGAAAATGAAGTAAGACAGGCTATCAACAATCTCAAATATAACAAAGCACCAGGTCCAGATATGATAACAGCAGAAATGCTTAAAGCCACAGAAGAAACCGGCGTAAAGTTACTTCATCTACTCTGTAACCAAATATGGCATTCCAAACAATGGCCTGAAGACTGGACAAAATCTACAATGACGACCATACATAAAAAAGGCAGCTTCCATAAATGCGACAATTATAGAACTATCTCTCTTATATCCCATGCCAGCAAGATAATGCTACATATAATCAATGAGAGACTGAAAACATTCCTTCAAAGAGAAATTCCACAAGAGCAAACTGGATTTACCAAAGGTAGAGGCACTCGAGAACACCTGCTGAATATAAGACAGATAATCGAGAAATCTAGGGAATTCAACATCCCACTATACATCTGTTTTATAGATTACCGTAAAGCGTTCGACAGGGTCAAGTGGAGACACTTATGGCGAATACTAAAAGAAGTAGGCGTACCACATCTAATTACGCTTATAACCGAACTATATGAACACACTACTGGATCAGTTAAAGTACTTGACACTCTTTCGAACGAATTTCATCCAGAACGGGGTGTCAGACAAGGATGTATACTATCTCCACAATTATTCAACATATATGGGGAGTATATTATGCGAAGAGCACTTGAAGGATGGGAAAAGGGCATCTCAATAAATGGTCATAAACTAAACAACCTACGTTTCGCAGATGACACAGCCCTTCTTGCAGATAGTCAAGCAGAGCTGATAGAACTTATACGACTGATCGAAAACGAAAGTCAAATATTTGGTCTGCAATTAAACATATCAAAGACAAAGATCATGTACACAACAATCATCTACACATAACCACAATTGACCGGTTCGAGATTGTGAGCTCATACTTATATCTGGGATTATTAATCACAAACACAGGGTCATTACAAGAAGAGATTAAACGTAGATGTGATCTAGCAAAAGTTGCCACAGCAAAAATGACCTAAATATGGAAGGACTGTCAAATTTCAAGAGCGATAAAGATGAGGTTGATCAACTGCTTAATATTCCCAATACTGACCTACGGATGTGAATCTTGGACTCTGAGACAATCGGAGAGAAGAAAGATAGACGCCACTGAAATGTTCTGTTGGAGACGAATGTTACGAATTCCTTGGACCGACCGTAGAACAAATAATTCAATTTTAAGAGAGCTAAAAGTTAGCCAACGACTCTCTAGTAAAGTCCATCTCTAACAATTAAAATATTTTGGGCATGTTATGAGAGCAAACACAGAAAACATGGAAAGACTCATAATACAAGGAAAGGTAGAAGGCCGAAGATCACGAGGAAGATCCTCAACAAGATGGATAGATCAAATTACAGGAATATGCCAAAGACCTATGCATGAATTAAAAGAAATGACCAGAGACAGAGATCTCTGGAGACGGACAATACACGACATCACGTCGACCACTACACTCCCCCTGGGGGGACAGGATTAAAGAGAGAGAGAGAGAGTGACCTATTGAAAATGTACCAAAAGACCTATCTTGAAAAAGAAAAAGCTATCAATGGCAAGTATCCAGAAAAACAGGACGCATTTGTCTAAGAAAAAAGATTTGTTGTATTAGGACAAGGCGCCAGGTCACAGATACTTCTTCGAAATTCATGAATTAAAGTATTAACTGCTACGTCTTGCACCCTTTTCAGCAGATTTAGCCTTCTCGGATTATTTTTTATTCGCCAACTTGAAAAAATGGCTGAGTGGTGAAAGAATGTCAAACCACGAAGGAGTGATGTCGGCATTTAATGGCTATTTTGGAGAGCAAGACATTTCTTATTATAAAAATAAAAATGGTATCGAACTTAATAAACATCGCTTTGAAAAGTGTATTGAGCAAAATTTTTATATTTTCTTTGTTGGGTCGCATATTTCTGGAGCTACTCTGGACACTCCTTGATGAAATGCCATATTAATATTTTGCCAGATTAATATTTTTGTACAAAAGTCCTCTTACCTTCCACTGAATTTATGTAGAACTGGCCAGTACGGCATCGGTGGAGAGTCTCCATCATCGATAAGTATAGCTTGATTTTTATCGTTTGGACAATGTTTAGCTGGTACGAATAATTGTAGCGAATCCTCAGGTTGAACGGTGGAGCAAGCGGGATCGAACTCCAAACTCATCCATTTTACGCTATCTGGAAACTGCACTCTAGAATAAATAAAAAATAAATTCTTATTTGTTTTTAATTAACTATGTACCAGGTGGAAAGACACTATTGCTAAAGATCTTAATACCATAGGATGAGAGATGGACAAACACTTTTTGATGGACCGGAAGAAATGGTGGCAGGTGAATCAGCCAAGACCCACAATGGGTTGTAGAGCTTTAGAGTAAGTATATACACTAATCCTAAACCTAATAACAAGGAATAAAGGGGGTTTCTAGGTGATATTTAATATACTCACCTGTAATTCGAAACAGTCGCCGGTTTATAAGGATGTTCACTTTCTACGAGAGTATAATGATGACTAGTGGTTTCAATTTTATGGTCTAAACTCTCGTGGTTTGAAGATGTGCTAAGGTTTGTGGCAGATTTTATGGCACCACATGGTGTACCCATTAAATTAAGAGCTGCCACATGTGGGAGTAACTCCTGAATTAGGTTCAAAATATGAACTGCACTCTAAAACAGATAATAATAAAAATATAAATTATTTAAAAACTTTGACCTCAAGATAATTTGATTACTGACGTTAATTATCCTATTACTTACACTTTTATATTTTACTAGGTTAAAAAATCAACTAAAACCATATATTATTATTAGTGGACTTACCTTCGAATCGCTGGTTACTAAAGGACTTATATGCGCCAAAACCAATGGTAAAAGAGTTGTCACTATACAAGATTTACTGAGGATTTCTGCCGATGGCACCTCCTCAGCCTTTTCTCTTGCCGATACAAGCAAGTTACTGGCTTTTTGAATAATAGCACTAGTCATTGACAAAGCTGCAATTCGAGCTTGTTGTTCCAATTTTGTGGTTGCAGCTCTTCCGCTTTCCAAAGGATTACTGAAAAATTAATTATTATTGAAAATTATCTGCAAAATAGGAGTAACAGAAATCTCGAGACAAGATCATATCCTGAAAATTATCATAGAATAAAATTCATATACAGAGTGGCCCAAAAGTCTGGAAACGGCTAATTATCTCGTAAAATGCTAATCATAATTGTAAAAAATTTGAGGTACACCTATTTTCGGATACGGAGATTCCATATTTGATATTTACAATGTTACCAGATTTGCCGTTTTTCTTATATTATTAGTAACTTTGGTTTTTCAAATACATCACCCTGTATATTCAGTCATTATTGGAATCTACTATTCAATACGAGTTCAACCATATGTAACACTTATGATTTTATGTAATCAGGAAGGTCATAAATACATAAAACCGAAGTCTGGCAACGCCTAAATTGTTTCAATAAATTTTTTAATACTAACTATTTTCAAATACATTAAAACGTAACAATTGATAGTTTAGAACATTTTTTAACATAGTAGTTGTTATTAAGTGTTCAAAATGTGCTCAATTTGTGAGTTGACAGCACCCTAATCGATGGTAGAAGGCGTCTACCACATTTCTCCATGATTGTCTAGAAATTATTCGAGATTCATTGATAATTCGTTGCCTTAGCTCTGCAAGACTTGCTGGTTAAGTTTTGTAAACTGAATTTTTCAAGTATTCCTAATAAAAATAATCTTTAAGATTGAAATCGGGTGAACGTGGAGACCATTCAATTCTACCTTGTCTACCAATTTATCGTCCAGGAAATATCTCATCTAAATATCGCCGAACATTTACACCAACTATCTGACGTTACATTTCTTTCGACAAAAAATAACCCAATTGAATAAGTAACTACTCTATCTGACCATACATTTAATTTTTGTGGTCTTTGAGTATGGTTTTCACGCATTCAGTCTTCAGTGTGAATTTACGTCACACCAGTACCTTAAATTGTGTCGATTTACACTTCCACACAGTATAAAAGTTGCTTCATCGAAAAAACATATTCTGTTAACGAAATTTTAATAATTTTCAATTTTATCCATCATTACCTCAGTAAACTCTAATCTACGACCAAAGTCATCTTCACTTAATTCTTGCAATAAGTTAATTTTGTATGATTTAAATTTATTTTTACGTAATAAACGTAAGACTGAAGAATGACCTACATCATGTACTTGTGCAACCCTGCCTGGGGATGTATGTGGATCTTCAACAAAACTTTGCTTATATCTGAAGTTTTGTTGTCATTGATAACTCGTTTCGGTAAACCTGATCGGTATCTATCTTTTACTTCTCCAGATTCCTCAAATCGCCTTACAGTTTTTTGTACCGTCGTCTTATGAATAGGAGAACGGTTTAGAGAACGGCATTTTAGAGAAGCAATTTAAATTGCAGAACGTTTTGAACCACAACTACTGTCAATTTTAGTTCATAATTTAAATGGTGAACAAATGTCAAAATCACAGCATTCTCCATTTAAATATTTAAATTTATTAAAATCTACATATTTTGCACTGTTTTATGTATTTAAGATCTTTCAGACTACATAAAATCAAGAGAACATATGGTTGAACTCGTATTGAATAGCTAAACTAGTGTGAAATTCACACTGAATGCGTGAAAACCATACTCAAAGACCACAAAAATTAAATGTATGGTCAGTTATAGTAGGTACTTATTTAATTATGCCATTTTTTATCGAAAGAAATTTAACGTCAGATAGTTGGTGTAAATGTTCGGCGTTATTTAGATGAGATATTTCCCGGACGATAAATTGGTAGGCAAGGTAGAATTGAATGGCCTCCACGTTCACCCGTTCTCAATCCTAAAGATTCTTTTTATTAGAGATACTTGAAAAATTCAGTTTGCAAAACTTAACCAGCAAGTCTTGCATAGCTAAGGCAATGAATTATCGATGAATCTCGAATAATTTCTAGACAATCATGGAAAAATGTGGTAGACGCATTCTACCATCGATTAGAGTGCTGTCAACTCACAAATGGAGCACATTTTGAACACTTAATAACGTAACTATTATTTTAAAAAATATTCTAAACTATCAATTGTTACGTTTTAATGTATTTGAAAATAGTTAGTATTAAAACATGTATTGAAACAATTTAGGCGTTGCCAGACTTCTGTTTTATGTATTTAAGACCTTCCAGACTACATAAAATCATAAGTGTGGCATATGGTTGAACTCGTATTTAATAGCATATTCCAACAATGACTGAATATATAGGGTGATGCACTTGAAAAACCAAAGTTACTAGTAATATAAGAGAAACTGAAAATCTGGCAACATTGGAAATACCAAATATGGAATCTCCGTATCCCAAAATAGGCGTATCTTAAATTTTTTATAATTATGTCTAGTAATTTACGAGATAATTAGCCGTTTCCAGACTTTTGGGCCACTCTGTATAACTAAGTAGTTTGTGATGCCCCTACCGTATGTAGCCGACTGAAAATCGGTCTGAAAATTCTTAATTTCGCGCATTTAGTTCTGACGGTATGGTTATAGTCTCGACAAAATGGCTGAACAAGCGTGTTGTTCCAACCAATAAGTGATACATGTTTATAATATCAGTTTATTGTTTTTTATTATGCAGTACTACTTTTTTGGAAACTTAATTTTGAAGCATTATACTGTTTATGTATAAACAAACTTTTGGGATACAATAAATATTTTTTCAGCAAATTGGATCAAAACTTTTTGTATTGTATAGTATACTCCGCCCGATATAGTTTATTTACTATTAATTTTTTTTCATACTAAAAAAAGGAGAAATGATGAAATAATGGCTCTTTGTCTCCAGTTGGTGCTGAAAGCGACTCAGAAAGTAGTAGAGATGACGAACAAGGGGAAATATCTCGTAATTTTTTGAAAGAATTCACAGAAGACACAGATGATGTTGAAAAAAATCTAACTTCTGAAGAAGATATAGAAGAAGCTGTAGAAACATTACCTGTTTCACTCAGTAAACGAAGACTAACAGCAGCTACTCCCTCAGTTGTGCCACAATTTTCTCCAGTTGTCCAAAAACAAGAACATTCTTTAATAAAACGGAACGGGAAAAAAGATGAGCCCGCATTCAACTGGAAGTCTGATGATTTTGAATATGAGGTAACAACAGAACAAAGTAATGATTTTAGAAAATCCCAAAATATAAAAACACCTTTCCAATATTTTAAACCTTTTTTAGTCTAGTTATTGTTAAATTAATCGTAGAACAAACTAACCTGTATTCGGCCCAAATATTTCATAAATGTGTAGACACAAGTATAAATAAGGTACACGATTTTTTAGCTATCGAAATGTTAATGGGGATTGTTGACATACCGGCGTACATGAACAACTATCGGTCTCAACTTATTGCAAATGTAATGTCATATAGAGGTATCAAGCAATTCGACGCAGCCTACATTTTGTCAACAATGAGAAGTTGAATAATATAATAGTTGGATGTTTCAAAATAAGGCCTATTTTAGATCGTATACAAAAAAACTTTCTTACAATTAAATCAGAGTCTAAACTCGGATTCACCAGTAAGCGTTGGCTCTTACGGACAATCTTAATCAAATGGAAGAAAACGCTGCAGCGTTTAGTTCATCGTCGGCCTAAACGTGGCAGAGCCGGCTTCGAACTTCCCTTACACACGGAGCTCTTGTAATTTTGCACTAACATTCACTGATTTGCCCTAATGACTGTTCCAGAAAATATTTGGACGTCGTCGTCCAAAGGAGAATATCAGGAGCCAATTGAGAAGACTTTTTCACATGGAATTTTTTTTAAAGAACATATCTCCCATAATCAAAGCTATCCTGGATGCCGTTAATTTACACGAAAATTTGCCTACATTTTCCAAAAGTACTCTATACCGACTATTGCGAGAGATGGGGTTTGTTTATGAAAAAAAGAGGAAAGAGAGCAGTAATGATGGAACGTCCTGACATAATAAATTGTAGGCATAAATTTCTTAGAAAAATACAGAATTATCGAAATCAAGGATACAATATTTTCTATTTGGTTGAAAGTTGGGTAAATATCGGACATACAGTAAATACGGTATGGATGGATTCAACCATAACCAGTTATAAGGATGCATTTTTAAAAGGCTTGACTACTTGGCTAAATGATCCAAAACGAAGAGGTCCGAGATTTGTCTTGTTACATGATGGATCTGATAGAGGTTTTCTACCAAATTCAGAATGTGTATTTTTAGCAAAAAAAGATTCAGGCGACTACCATGACGAAATGAACGGCGAGTCTTTCGAAGACTGGTTTGAAAATAAACTAATCGCAAACCTCCCAAAAGGAGAAAAAAATGTGGTAGTAATGGATAATGCTCCATATCATTTATGCAAACAAAATTTCCCAAGAAGCTCCTGGAACAAACAACAAATTCATGAATGGTTACGAGAGAAGGATATATTTTATGAAAAAGATTATTTAAGGTCAGAACTATTGGATGTAGCAAACAGTTATGTAGATATGTACAACAAGTATAACATCGAAACTTTGGTCGAGAAATACGGCGTAGAAGTATTACGATTTCCTCCCTATCACTGTGAGCTTAATCCAATTGAAATGGTTTGGACCCAAGTTTAACATTACGTTATACGTTATAGCCCGAAACACTGACTTTAAAAAAGATCGTGTGCAATAACTTATCCATAAAGCGTTTGCCAATATCTCTGCTAAACAGTGACAAAATTATATACAGTATGTCATCGGAATTAAAAAAGAAATATGGATAGCTGACAACCTACAAGAAGATATCCTACCGGTAATTATCACAACCAACACCGGCAGTTCCAGTGAGGGCTACATACATTTTTATTCTTTTATTAGCGTAATTTTATTCTTTGGTGTATACACACTTTTCTTTGAAATAATTGTTGAGACTGTTAATAGTAATAATTG